ATGCTTTATCTCTATCCTCATACTTTAAAAAAATGAAACTGGGGAACTTTCTAAACTGCCAGAAGTCTTCTATTTCTCTTTTTATCCCTAGCTTTGTGGAGATACAATTGACATACAACATTGTGTAAGTTTAAGGTGTACAATGTGTTGATTTGATACATTTGTTGATCTTTAACAAATAGCCTGATATTTCTTCAGCAAAATGGCTTATTCGGGTACAACAAAGAATTGCAATTCAGGTCATGGGATCTAATGGCAAACCACCTGCAAGTCCAGAGAAAGAAAAGTGAGGAACACTCTTTTATGGACTTGGGAGGAACTCTGATAAATGAAGAGTTCATTGGAGGAAACTGAAAGATCGAAGTATAGTGACTTTTCATTGGCTGAATTACGGTAGTCTCCCATTTGCTGAGCTGTTACTGGGCAAGGAGGAATCTTTCTTTCCTCTTGCTGAGACTGTAATGTAGTATCATTTCCTGTTGGAAATGAAGATGCAAGGTACATCTCTTCCTGTTGGGGTCAATAATGTGCATTGAGTGACATGTGCATGAGAGTTTTCTCTTCTGGTCTCTTGACTCCATGTTAAATGAGGTTTCTGTTTATTAATTTTCATACATTTATAAACTGCACAATGGTTAGCATCATATTACTAGCTACTACGTCCATCCCGTCACATATGGTGGTTACACAAATTTTGTATTATCATTTTGTAAATAAAATTTACGTATGATTTGCATGCTTTTCTGTTTGTTTTATTTGACTTAAAAATCATTAAAAGTAAATCAGATTTTTTAAATCTTTATAAATTACTCCCGGCCTACAGAATAATGTTCAGACGCCTCAGTCAGAACTTTCAATTCCTCCATATACTGACTACTTCAGGCTTTGTAATCCTAACTCCCACTAGTGTCTTCAGTGCAAACCAAAAATACCTCAAACAAAACAAAACAAAACAAGCCCCAACAGATTCTAATTTTACTAAATTGCCTTTACCAAAAGAAAAAAAATTGACCTTTCTTCTTACTCTTTATTTGAAAGTAAATGGTGAAGGATTTTGAATTGCCTACCACGCTTTTTTTCTAAGATGAATCAGAGCAGGATGAAATGACTGCTTAGTCTTTGGCTGTAATGAATATGTGTCTATGACACAATTCTCAGAACACATTTTCCCCAAGTTATTATCTAGCTGACATTGTGTTTAGGTTAAGAATTTTCTTTCAGTTTAAATAAGCGAAAAAAGTTGGTTAAAGGCAAATATACGTGATGTTGGATGTTAGTTTGTGCCCACCAAAACATAGTGAAAAATAAATAAACGACCCAAATTGAGCTAAGTCTTCATGCACAGACTATCAGTTTCACATTAGTCATAGTCAACTTCACACATAGACGCCACTGAAAGAACCAGGGCCAAATGTTCCTGGAAAATGGGACTTCTGAGGTTCACAGACATTTGCTGCAAATACCTGAGCCCCATACTTTGGGTGGAGATCTCAAGAAGATTGATGGGCAGCTTCCAAGGGGAAAAAAAAGAGGGAGGGGCAGGATGTGGTCTTGGTGATTCAGACTTGGCCCCCCCTTCTCCACCACTAATGTGAGTCAGCATGCAGCCACATGGTGCAGTGATGGCTGTCATACCAGGTCCTCTCTTCTGCCTTCACTAAAGCACTTGGTAATTTCAGAAGCCCAGTTCGCATAGGAGTAGTTTTATTGTTTTCTAAATTAGCCAAACGACCAACTGTTGAAGATTTCTGATCTACATGATTTGGCGGCATGAAGTGTTGTCGGGTGTTTTAATACTTGCTTGCCTCCCCTGGTCCTTAAAAGTAACATCATGTGCTTGGATTCAGCCTAGCACAGTAGTTGAGTCCCTGGGTTGCTGCCAAGATAACAGAGTTCAAATCCGTACTTGTCACCCCCAGACTTGTAATTTTAGAAATGTGCACATAGCATTGTTTTTTGCCTCACAGCATGAATCGTGTGCCCTTAACAGGATTGGTGCAATGGGAACTGAGAGTCATCCGTGCAAGTTCCAGGGCTGGCAGAGTGGCAGGATGGGTCACACTGTCTGTCCAGTGCTGGGTATTAGCTTTCTATGACTTGATTTGGGTATTGTTCATGACTGAAGAGTCCTCAACCTGGCCATGCTGGCAATTCTGGGAATTATACAATGACCCTTTAATACATTCTTTTTTGCTTAAACCAAACTTTTGGTTTCTTTTGCATGTAACTAAGGATATTGACTGATACAATGACCTTGGAAATATTAAGTTTTCTCACCTATTTTCTCATATGTACAGTAGCTCAGTAATATTTATCTTTTAGGGTTGGTGGGACTTAAATATGTTAATGCATGCAAGTACTCAGTATGGCGCTGGCACATAGTAAGGATCCCTAAAATATTAGCTGTTATTATTAATAATTTGTCAGGCACAGGAAGAACATCGTACTGTCTGTAGTCAGAGTGAATCTTGGTAGAGAAGGAGGTCCTCACCACTTATCTTAGAATAAGGAATGATATAGCTTGGAGTCCTAGAAATTAGAAGTCATTATATCTTTGTTTCAAGATTCAAGTATAGCGACTCCACCAGAATGGTTATGTACAAGAAATGATTCCCTCTTTATTATGATGACTCATGGCTTTAATTTATGGTTGGTTGATTTAGGCAACCACATATCTTTTGTTTTACTTATTAAATTTAAATTTAACATAGGGACTGAAAAGGGCATACATCTTAAGTGTACAGCTTGATTATCATACAAAGCAAGATACCGAATATTACCAACACTACAGAGGTCTACATTGTGTTTTTCTTCTCCAAAGGTAACTGCTACACACATTTCTCTTACCATAAATAAAGTTTTTGAACTTTATGTAAATAAGATTATATAGTAAGTACTTGTTTTTGTTGCTAAATGTTATATATTTGAGATTCATCCATGTTGTTACACACAGAACTAGTTTTCTTCATTGTGGTATAGTGGCCCATTATGCATATATACCACAATTTATTTATCCATTTTATTGTAACTGGACATTTGGGTTGCTTTTAGTTTGGTGCTATTAAGAATAATGTACTAAGAATATTCTTGTAACTATCTTTTTGTACACATATGTATGCATTTCTTTTGCATTTACATCTCAGGGTTGAATTGCTGAGTCATAGGGTGGGCATACGCTTAACTTTATTGGCAACAAAATTTCCAAAGTAGTTATACCAACTTATACTCCCACAGCATTGTATGAACTTCTCACAACACTTGTTATTTTAAACCTTTTTAATTTTAGCCATTCTGGAAATTAGAAAGAACCAAAGTGGAAATGGCATCTGATATGTTCCAAATCTCTCTCTCTCTCTCTCACTCTCCACCTTTCTCTCTCATTTAGAGGATTTTCAACAATAAGAAAACAAAAACAAAAACAAAACTCAAACCGACCTCCTACTGGCTTAAAGAGTAACTCTTCATTTCCTCTCAGTGTTTGTTCAAATTTCACCTCCTCAGTGAGGCTGACCAACCCTCACTTTATTCAACACAAAAACCTCTCCCCTGATCCCAATACTCCTGATCCTTTTTACCAAGCTCTACTTTTACATTTTCCCCACTTACTACTTCCTAACATACTGCAGAACTTTTTTATATGTGTTTTTAGTTTATTATCGCTCTCAGCTAGAATGTTAGTTCTACAAGGACATTGTAGTATTTTGTTCACTGAGATATTCCAGGCACCTTGAACAGGGCACCTAGCTGCTCAATAAATACTGTTGAGTGAGTAAAGGGAATCTATTGTCTCATATAAGAAGTCCCAAGTAGGGTGGTCCCACGAATGTTGGTTCTGTGGCTCAGTGAGGACCATGTTCTTTTCATCTTCCCTGTCTGCCATCCTCCACCTGCAAGGTTGGTGTCTTGGATAAACTCTGATCATGGTTGCAGAATGGCTGCTGCCGTTCCAGGCACCACAGGTCGACAAGGCAAATCCAGCACTAGCAGAATGGCTGCTATCTGCTTCTCATTTGTTTCCTTTTTCTCTTTAATCAATGAGGAGTCATATATTATTTTTTTAGAAAGCACACTTGCATATATAGCAACTGAAATTAAAATAAATGCATATAAATGTGTTAGTTTTTAAGCTAACACAGACAATAATGCATATTTTAAATATGAATTACTCGATTGCAACAATGTTAGATTTGGAAGAAATATGTCAATGCAAATTTATGAAGCGTTATATCATGTTTGGGAATAATGAGTATAATTTGACATTGCTTTTGAAAAGTTTAATTTTAAAAAAAATCCATATTCGTTATTTATTTTGATAAAATTTTTAGAGAGGAAAAAAATCATGAGGAACTCTGCCATGAAGATGATTAAAGGATTGACCTGACTATATTAAAATAAGACAAAGTATATTTTAAAACTATGAAAATATATTTAAAAATACAAAATTTCCATAAAGCATGATACAGCCAAAAACACAAGAGAGATAAATTACAGATTTTTGGGGGTCTAATCAACTGAATATATATTTTATTTAACTTAGATTATAGGTCAAACAGATTAAGAAAATTCACTTTTGCTAAGAAAATGAGATAGTGGTAAGGGACCTGTGGAGCCCATTTAATATTAACTATTTTGAAAAAATAGAGACTATTCAATGTGAAAATGTTAATTAAAAAATGGACTATGTTGGTTGCAATATTGCTAAACATATGTGTAAGGCTCATACTTAGAAAATCTGGAGAGAAAATAACTACAAATCACCCCATTAATCTGTTGGGCATTTCTAGCTGATTTAAGTTTGTCCTTGTTAAAGAAATTATCTTTGTTTCCCACCCCCACCCCCCAGGAATGCATGTAAAACAGTTCCTGTCTCAATGTATGCCTAAGGCAAAAAGTTCAGTGCTCAATTACCTGCTGTCTGAAGTCTCAGATTTTGTAGCGAGCAAGTGAAATAGCGTTTTAATCAGAAGTCTTGACCCATGCTCTTCTTTTTCCCTTCCCAGCTCTGCGAGCTATTTGGCATATGAAGGTCCTGACCTGAGAAAACCATCTTGGATAACCAGGGCAAGGAGAAGGAAAAAGGCAACACCTAGGAGATTTCAGTAAACAGTAGAATCATGCCAACCTAATCTGTGTTAAAATGCTTGGAATGTGGGAGCCGCTGATGATGCCTGTTGTCTGTGTGTCTGACTGAATCCTTTCTTTTCTCAGAGCAGCAAAAGCCAAGCCTGGGAACCAGGCCAAATGCCTGCCACTTACCTTAAATTGATCAGCCACTTTGAGATTAAAACCCCTGAAAGCTGCCACACCGTGAAAACAAGGCCTCCTTCACATTAAAGGCAAATTGCGACTTTGGGTTTGCTGTGATCTTTTTTCCATTTTATCCAGTTTTTCACAGTGCACACTTTTTTTTTTCCCCTTTCCATTTATGCTCCAATGTAGAAGCCAATAGTTACAGCATCTTGGCCAAGCATTCATTAAGGTTTATAAGAACAAAATTTATGGTTATTTAGGAGTTGGCACAAAGACAGACTGTTGCTGGAAAAAGAAAAAGAAATACAGGTGGGAAATATAAGCCTCAACAAAGGCCCACACTATACAGCAGTGTGCTAGGCTCTTCGCAGTGGTCGAAGGAGGAAAATTGTATCGTATTTAAAACCAGCTACTCCTCTATTCTGGACCCTTCCTATTTTATGGCTCTGTAGATGATTGAGACAAATGTACTGGTCATTCCAAGAGTATTTTTTTGTCTTATGTAACTGCTACCATTTACAGGACCAGACAGACATAAATAGATGTGTGCTAATCTGAGTGATAATCTGTCAGTGTGGTTAATGGACAAAGTGCATTTAACGAATATACTGAGGGTGCCAAAAAAAAAATGTATACACATTTTAAGAAAGGAAAAAACTGTATTAATTGTAATACTCAATATATACCGATAAAAAAAGAGGAATACAAGTCATGTGTATACATTTTAAGAGATGCTATCTATGCTCAAGCGGTAGCTCGCCATAATCAGAAGTGTCTGGATGCTGATGGTAACCACTTTGAGCACCTCTTGTCATTGCAGAAGTTAAACGTGACTTGTATTCATCTTTTGTTATCGGTATATATTGAGTATTACAATTTTAATACAGTTTTTTCCTTTCTTAAAATGTGTGTGTGTGTGTGTGTGTGTATATATATATATGTATATATATATATATATATATATATATAAAAGCTCTCCCATTAAGAGAAGAGCCATGTTATCCTTCTCAGTAGACGTTACATAATGTCAGGGCTTGTGTTCCCAAAAATGCAGGGTGTGGGCTAAACACACCCTTTATCTTTGAATTCTGGTAGTAATGTGGAATTCTGGCACAGGCCGGAAGTCTATATTCACCCTCAGGAAATATTGCTAATGATTTTTTAAAAAATACTTTCTGATTTCCTGCTCTAGGGAAATAAGAAGGCTCCTTGTCCTGTCATTTGTAATATTTGTGAAGCAAGCATTTTAAGAATATATTTTAGTTTCTATTCATTGTTGTCCAAGAAGTACCTAGGAGTACTCGCAGTGTTTCATGATAGAAACTGTTCCCCAAATATCACTTGTTTTAGCTGTGCCAGTAACGCACTGAATGATGTAGGGAAAATTAATTTAAATTCCCAGCAATCTCCTATTATCAAATGAGAATATTAATACTACTACTACTAACAACATATACTCTACCAGGTACAACATGATAAGCTGTTGGCTTCCACTTCCATGACTTTGCACACACTAGAATGTTTTCCCCCTTCTTCATGAAATTAAGTCCATTGTTTTTTTTACTTTTTTTGGAAATTTTTCCACCTAATTCTTTTTATTCCTTATTATTCCTTTCTATCACCACAAGCTAGAAGTACACACAGTGTTATATGAACTTGCATTTGTTCACATGTTGCTCTGCAAAGGACCTATTTACTTGTGCATAGATATGAATACTTTCCCCTAACTACACATACTTTCAGCTCTCTCATGGCAGAGGTCATGACCTTCTTGATATCTCTCCACCAGCAATATGCTCATTCAATTTGGAAAACTGAATATGCATAAAATCTTTTGCCTCATTTCATAAAATGCTGAATAAAACTTTGGCTGCATAAGTATACAATGTGATCATCATTTGCAGATAAAACTGATTATTTCTGAGCCTGGGCAAGACTGTTAAGTAGTCATTACAAGTCACTTCCCTTGTTTTGCGGAATACCAGAATGCCAGAGCCATCATAGAAGGAACAGAAAAAGCTATGGTTCAGTCTGATGCTCATCTCTGTCTTTGTATCTTTTTAACCAAGTTTGCCTTACAATTTTGTCACTTAGATTTTCTATCATGCCTAATAGAGTTTCATCTTGACTACTGATTTTATAACTTCCAAGTCTTCATACTTTGTATTTCCTATTAATTCTGATTCTTCCATATTCCATTAGTTACTAAGAATTTATGGAGGGCTTGATGCATGTTCAGTGTAAGGCTAAGGGTAATTGAAAAATCCCTACATAACAAGTAGTTGATAAGAAACTACAAAGCAAGCAAACAAATGCCTACAGCAAATTGCTCTGCATTCTGTTGAGTAGGGTAACGATTTGAGGACAATTTAAGAGAATGTACAATAGAGTCATATTTCATGATGAAACAGCCAATATGGTTGTTTAGAGAGTGCACTGAAGGGATCACAGAATGTATAGGACTTGACCAGGACCTAGAGAGATGACAGAGAAAGGAGGGCAGTCTCTCTAAGAAAGGGGAACGGCGTAAACAAAGGCCCAGAAGTGGAAATGAACTTGGTGAACTCCCAAATCAGCCAAAGCGTGCTTTGTAGGGATGAGGTGAGAGGGTACTAAGAGTGTGTTGGTAAATAGGATTGAGAGAGAAAAATGAGATCCAGCTAATGGAGGCCTTGAAAGTCAACCAGAGGAGTTGTGATTGTCTTGGGACAAAATGGGATGCTCTTAATGTTTTGAGAACAAAAGTTTTAAGATAACACTCAATTCTTTTTGATGCAAAGAACCCTAAATTTCATCAGAATACCCATGGTCTCAGTTTCACTGTTTTCAAGATGTACAGTCTTAATCAAGTTAGTGACTCTGTCTGAGCCTTAGTTCTTATATTTATAAAATAGGAATGAGGGCCGGCCAAGTGGCTCAGTTGGTTAAGAGTTGGCTTAAGAGCACGAGCTCTGAGCAACAGGGCCACCAGTTTGATTCCCACATGAGCCAGTGACGCTGCGCCCGAGCTGAGCTGCCGCTGAGCTGCCAACAAGTGGCAGGATGACTCAGCTGGTATAATAACAAGATTGCCTGTTCAATGGTGGGCTATGCCTGCCTGCAACTAAGACTGAACTCGGCATCGTGAGCTGAGCTGTTGCCTGGGTGGCTCAGTGGATAGAGCATGCGCTCTTAACAACAAGGCTGCCGGTTCGACTCCCCCATGGGATGGTGGTTACACCCACCCGCAACTAAGATTGAACACAGCACTTTGAGCTTAGAGGCCATGAGTTGCCAACAAGAAGCCAGATGGCGACTGGCGCCCTCCACAACTAAGACTGAAGGACAACCACTTGGCTGGTTCCCTTCCCCAATTTCCCAACACTGTTCCCCTCCCCCAATTCCCCAATAAAATCTAAAAAAAAAAAAAAAATGATACTTGCATTGCCAGTCTGGTTTGGCACACCTTTGACAGCCACTGCAGTCACACAGGTGTGACAGAATCAGGATATGGGGGACAGATCCTCCAGAAATTGAGTGGAGCAAACAAATCACAGAGATGCTGCGGACGCTGACACTGTATCACATAGGTGACTCTGGTCCACTGGGCTCCAGAAAAAATAACACTTGCAATTGACCTCTTTCCCTGAAACTTCATCTCCTCACCTTGGTTACTCTACAAACCCAGACATTTTGCTACTCTCTGTCTTCCCTGTCCCTTCTCAAAAAGAGTCTCTGTCCCTATTTACATCACCCAAGAGAGCTCAGACCCTCTCTAAGAAGTCACCAACAGATTCTCAAAGGCCTGTGTATTCCGTTTTCGCCTCCATTCACCTTATACCTCCTCTCTGTTAACATTTTTTCTTAGTACCATGCCTCCTTATTTTCTGTCAATCTCTAAAGTTTCCACTGAATCTGACTCCACATGATTTTTTACTTCCCATCTAAAAGAAGGCACTTTCTCTCACTTTCCCAAACCTCCTTTTCCTCCTGCGGGTCACCTAATCTTTCTGATTACTCATCAGCAGCACACCTATCCTCCCCTTCTCTCATCTCATTCTTCCATCAACTTGCCTTGGAAAGGATTAGAAGGCCCTGCTGCTAATGCCCAGTTCCTGGTGAGGATGTGGAGGACAAAGGGTCATAGAGTGCTGGCGAGAGTGTAAATTGCTACAACCAACTGGAAATCAGTTTGGCAATACTCAGGAAAGTCAAAGATGCTCAGAACCTCTTACTACGTGTCTGTCCCAATCGTTACAACTGCGGTCATATACTGAGTGCTTACTTTGTATAAGATTTTTATTTTTTTCACTGCTTTAGTCTTTTGAAGGGGGTTAGCCTGATTTTACTGAAGAGGAAACTGAGGCACAGAGAAGTTAAATAACACACCTGAGGTCACACAGTCGTGACTTTGTGGTGGAACTTGGATTTGGAGTGGGCCATTGGGCCTCAGAGCATAAGCTGTTACCCACCAAACTGTCTGGAGAAATATACGCCCCCGGAGCAATGTTTACGAGTGTTCACTGCCGCCCTGATTAGAACAGTGGAAAGGTGTGAGTGGTCAAACTTCCCCTCCGAAGAAGAATGCGGCAATAAACCCAAGGACGGCTGTTCAGGAGCTAAACTCAAAGAATTAGATTTACAAATATCAACATGGATGAGTCTCGAAAATAGACTCTCATGTGAAAAAGGCAGGGTTCAGCAGCATACATACAATACACCAAAACACACAGAACAGTAACACGTAGTTCATAGATAATTACAGATATAGTAGTCAAAAACCTGAGATGTGAATTAACTGGATCAGCTGAAAGATAGCTTATCTGGAGGAACGGAGGGAGAATGGGGATGATTTTCTCTGTGTTTCCAACATGCAAACACGAAAGAGAGGGTTAATGAAAGTACGGCAAAATATTACCATTGGTTTAAATGTTGCTGGGTACGTAAGTATCATAGTGTCTTCTGGTTCTTTTCTGTATGTTGGAAATATTTTATATACACAATATGAAGGCACTTCCACAAAGAAATGAGAAATTAGTCAAAACCTTACAGGCAGGGATTATCAGTTTTTGTGGCTTTTCAAGTCAAAACATGTCATTCTTGAGCACAGATAAGTGCTCAGT